ACCAGAAAGGATGCGTAGCAGTCTGTACCAAAAAATCGAAGAGTTAACGGGCAAGTGAACAACAATTTCATTAAAATAGAACAGTTTATATTTTAAATCTAATAGAATGGTACAAAATGAAAGAGGTGAATAATTACTATAATATTAGCATGGAAGTTATATGGATTTGCTCCTGCTTGTGTAATTAGAGAGATTGAGTTAAGAAACATTAGTTTTTAAAAAAATAGAAGTGTGAGTAAGAGCTCCTTTTTGTCTTTCTGTCCTTCTTTCCTTTTCTTTTTACACACACAATTTGAAGTAAAATGTAACTTCGAAAAAACAAGTAAAGTGTGTAGTGCGAGTGCAAATCCTAGTAATAAAGTTAAACTTCTATCTGTCACAATACATTCCCGTACAGAGAATTAAACCTAAGCACTGTATATATTCACCATGCCTTTCTAACTACCCAGTACTACAGCACATCCCCTTACCACTGCGTCATACCTTCATAGCTCACCCGAGTATTACAACATTCTAACAGTGTGTCAAATCATGCCATGCTTTATGATATGGAGGCCAAAGGTCATCATATTCTTGTCATCTATTCAATCTGATAAGCTGCGCATATTCGCATTTGTCATTGTTCGATTTCAGGTAGGCACGCAATGGAATATCATATGAACGGGTTTTCCACCTTTGCGTAGGTCTACCCCATATGAGTGCACACATAGAAAGGAAGACAAATACAAATCTCATATGTTTTCATGACTACGACATGAGATTACCTTTTCTGAGCCTCTGAAACTGTTTATTGAACAATAAACGTGAATTCAAATGCAAGCGATTTACTAATAAGAAGAGTTATATGATGTATTCGATTTAAGCGCTCTTTTATACCTTTTTGCTTACATTATACAAAAAGGGCGTTCTGATGCATGTATGTAACACGTGTATTCCCAACAGCCAAGGTGTGTACTAAATAGACACTGAATGATGTCTGTATGCAAGGTTGACTTTTAGGTTAACCTTTATACCTCCTTATTACCACTGTTTCTTTCTTCTCACGCATCCAACGGTTTGCCCACCTTTATTGCTCAGAGAGTAGGAGAGCGAATGTTTGAGTCAGAAAGAGAGGTAGAGAGAGAAAGCTTGAGCTGGGATAGGGCGGGTTGGATTCCCCAAATAATATTCAAATTAGGTTGCCCGGACGAATTCATGGCGGGTATTTTTGAAAATATATTTTTTTAAATAATTATAATTAATAGAAGTGCTGATCAACCTCAACATTACAGCCAGGAAGGAGCCTGGTAATTATCGGTTTATATTTCTTATTCTAGTTCACTTTGGATTTTATTACTGGACTTTATAGGAAAGAAGATGATTCAGTAAACAAAATCAAATTGCTCATTCCCACTTTCTTTTCCATTCCTTGCCTACTCTCTTATCCCCCTCTCCCTCTCTGTATCCTTCTTTTTCCGCCTGTTCAATCACTGTTGCTTTATCTAGATAAATTTCCCAATTAAAACCCTCCTTTATAGCCAATGTATAGCTCTCAACATTACAACTGCTCTATTTATGTACCACTGCCCCTTCTAACTCTCTCTCTCTCTCTCTATCCCTCTCTCTCTCTTATATTACTACCTTGTTAATCATTCCCTCTCCCTCTTTCCCTCTTTCTCTCCGCCCCCTATCTCTCTCTCTCTCTCCCTCTGTCTCTATCACATACCAATCTCTCGATCAATTGGTTATGCGATGCAACTGTCTTTATCTCATTTACAACATAAATACGCATCAAAGTCAAATATTGAAGAAAGCATGCACTAACTTGTATTTTTAGCTCACCAAGCTGATAAAAACAAAATATATATAAACGAATAACAAAAATTGAAAGCAATACATAACTAGGCCTATGTTTTTAATTTCAACAGTTTTCGCCTTAAATAAAAATAAATTAATCTTTGAAAATTGATTTGGTCCATGGCAAAAATTACAGAAAACAACATTATTTTGATAATTTACATTTATATCTGAATAAACATCACTATCCAAAAGACGTGACTCAGTTTCGCTCCTATCAGGATCAGTTTGTAGACGAAGACAGAGAACACGGCAATTACCGCCAGACTAACTCACATCAGTAATGCTGATGACACTTAACAATAGGCCTATACATTTGACAGGTAATCACACAACGAAATAACAGTACTGCTTCGATGTTTTTCAGGCATAGGTCTATACAAAATCAATTTCATCTACATCATATCATCAGAAATCCAATACATGTAGCACTGACAGCAATTCTTACAATACTTATAATACAACTCGGTAGTATCAAAAAACGATTGCAAATGGAGCTCATATTTTAGAAGACAAAATAAATCTGTTATAATTATCGTCTACTTATATACGCTGTGCACGATGTCACACATATCTGATGTGTTGGAATAGCAGAAAGATATATATATACATGAAAATAAAATTCACTAGTCAGAGTAAATGACACAGCAAGAGCTGAGTAAGACTAAGAGAAGTAACCTCCTCGTATGCAGTTGCTAGTAATATACAATTTCACAAACATTATCCTATATATATTCATTGATTATTATCATAGCCATTACCAGAATAAATGTCAGAATTCAATGAATAAATTCATTTTGAATTAGAACATTCTAATACTGTGCATTGTGCGAGAAGCAATACCTCTAGCGCCACCTCAGGCCAGCTGTGGCATACGGTCTCGTAACTAGCTGCACTGTTGGCAATGACAATGACCGTGAGATGGCGCTGTGTAACAAACAGTGCGCTATGTCAGCTAAGTCATTCATGTTTAGTATCACGCTACGGGTCGTTCACATAAGAAGCAGCAAAACACTTGCGTTTTTTCATGGTGACGTAGAGTGTAAAACGCTTATCATTTCTGTATTCTGTAACATAAAGCTCACTAAAGGTACGTAAGTTCTTTGTTGCATGCTTTTGCCATTCATAATTTACATGTATCAAATCGGCTGCGTTTTTTTTGCGCTGGCTTACCGCGCCATATCTGAACAAGCCTTATTAAACCTGTTGAATAACTGGAATGCATATGAATCACACATTTTACATATTAGCGTACATCTATATAGATAGTATTCATGACGTACAGAAGAGTACACTATGAACATGACAAACTAATTTCAGCATACACACACTCTTGAAAGACTGGAGTATCTATGATATGATAGTTGAAGGCAGGGGTAATTATTTAAAAAGTGAAAGACTTTCGGCACAGTAATCTTTGAAGGAATTCTCCCAAGTATCAATAACAGGTATGGTGCATTTTTGGTTTTACAACGAACATCTGAGAAATATCTTAATGTAAGTATATGTATTTCACCGTTTGACATGATAAATAGATAAATAGGACACGGTAATTGTTACTATTTTGAAATACACAGATAAGAATCTACAAACTAGAAAATCCTTTAAAACATTTCTCCTTGTAATAAAATGTGAATGAATGAAATCAAAGGAATTTATTCATGGAATATTTCAAAATATACAAAGCTTGTTCTCGTTCATATCTAAAAAACTGACAATATATCTGCTCACACTAGATTTTGATGATTAAGTTAGTTGCAATGTCAGCCCCCTTTTTTTTAATGTCTGATGCAGAAGAGGGCAACACAAATCTTGCGCATTTCTATAGGCAATACATCAAATTACTAATGATAATGATAGGGGCTTTTATGTAGATCATTTCCACACTGCAGATTATTTTGTAGCACTTTGCAATCATAGTTCAAATTTAACATTTATGTTTCAGTATCTTATGTTTACAGAAGAAGTTACTACAATAGGGCCTCTGTTTTTCGTCTCAGATACACTTTTGTGTAGTGATATCCTGACGATTAACAGTTGATGATATGTTTGCATAATAACCATAAGTACATAGAACTATTGATTAAAGAAACATTGAGGGGTTACTATTTTGTTCTACGATAAAAACCGTTTACGAGCCATATCTACATAGACGTTGAGGCCATCCTCTAGAATAAAAACGGGTCAGTTAAAAGTCGCAGCGAATACAGGATTCCTTATAAAAGTATCACAAATGTATCTGCTTTTGCAAATTATTCATCTACCTGTGTAGATACCATTAGATAGGGGATTTAACATAATTTCCTTCTTATTTATATTACCAATCATGTAGTATTTATAAGTACGATCACTGAGACCTTCACACAAATCAAAATAAGCCATTTCATTAGTCTTGACCATCATCACCTATCGAAATGTATGAAAATTACAACGGCATATTACAAAATCTTAACATGGTTTCTATGGGCTTATAGAAGGGTGTGGAAATTACTCTTGAGTTGATTTCTCCAAGGTCTTTGTGATCATGTTTTAAGTATCTTAGATCAGGCTTATGTACATAGTCATGCGTCATACCTTTGAAGACAATGCAATTGCTGATGACTTCACTTCAAAGTGCAGCAACTTGTAGTACAGTTATTTATATTTATTTTGGAAGAAAACAAAGTGTAAGCAAAATAACGCTGTGTTGATAATTCTTTCAAAACAATCAAAAATATATTACATGCTTAAAAAGTTATTCAAAACAAAATATCATTTCAATAGCAATAGGATTAACAAACATTTGAATTCTTGTAAACAATTTATTGTACAGGCTCGAAAGAATTTGCCTAACATCTTTATAAACAGTGTCTAGTAAAAGGAAGACATATTTAAATTCGATGTGCTATCCTATCAAGGCAGGAATTGACATATACAAATGTGCAATGAGACTTTCCCGGCATCAATTGATAGATTACAAATGTGAGTTAAAGGACAAGCGATACAGTGTATTAGGTGTTTAAGAAGGAAAGCACTAATTCTATCGCGACCCTGTGATTTACTTAATTTTGTATTCATCAGGAACACAAAAACAATTTCAAACCTTTGTTCCCAGAATTTGGTCACGGGACCTACATGCTGGTCTCCTACTATAAGCTACGCAACTAAAAAAATATACATATATATATATATCATTGGACCAATGTAGTCCTCAAGAGAGAAGCATATAATTTGCATCTCATGAAGTACCAAATAGCTCATCAGCGAGACGAATTTGACCAGCCTCCCTTAGAGCACGCTTCAGGGCTTCACACTCTGTTGCCTTGGTTTGCTTCTCTCTCCACTTTCGAAGCATTGATAGTGTACCCATGTATGATACTTCTGAAGTCTTCATGTTTGTGTTGACATAACGTTGGATATCTTCTGGATCGAAGCCGAGTTCCTTCCCGAGATCATCTATATCTTCATACTTCACAACCCTTTTAGCAACCTCTTTCAGCTGTCCACCAAAGTCTTCCTGTCTACCTGAAATCTCACACAAATGTAAGAGAAGTGTAATTTCCTGCAAAAATGACAATTTTATCTAAAAACAAAGCTACGAAATAAAGAAGAAGCAAGACTTTTAAGTCTTAATTGACAGACCCTCACACTTTCAAAAATTATGGATCATTCATTATCGGAAGTGTATTAGATGGCGGAAATTACAAAAGTCTGTCATCTCCTTACTTCAGCCACAAACAGAGACAATACATGTAGGAATGCATTTTAGAATTTCACTTTGGTTGAGCCTCAATCAGCTGTAATGCACATCCCTCTAATTGCATAATCATTATGTAGTGGGACTGACTGTAAACGGAAATACAGAGATCTACAAAGGATGAAAATAAAATAAAATTAACATCTACATTCCAAACTTTGCAGTGTATTTTATATATACACAGCTCGTATACCATATTGTGTCTATATAGACAATATAAGCAAACATGTGTCTCGCTGATTTTGCAACAAATTTGCCACATTAATGAAAACATTTATAAAGAGGAAGCTGAGTTATGGTCATGCATTCAGATTGTGAAAGAATCTATTTGGAAGTAAAGGTTGATTGCGAAGTACATAGAAATTAGTGGACACTGAAGTTGCGAATCATTAGCTTGATATTTTTCTGGATACCACTTGATCAAACGCACATGCGCTGCACACAGAAATGAGTGAATGGGACTACACAAACACATGGAAGGACTGTTAGGTCCAAACAGGCCAGCTTTTTCTTGTCATATTTTGAAAATGAGGGCATTTGAATAGCAATATTTTTTTAAAGGTAAAGACCAGTAATGGTCATGCGATTGCATTGTGAAAGAAACGTTGTGGAATCGATCAGAAAAGGTTGATCAATTAGCATCTAGCATCTGCAAGGTTCTGGAATCATCAAAATGATAAGAAATTTGGCCCATTCTTCGTAAAGTTACAAGCACTATACACAGAAAGATGTATATGGGACTACCCTATATCTCTCACAAGACCATGAGAGAAACAAATATACCAAATATATGAATTATTAGGCGGTTTCCCGGCAAATTTTGTATCATCATGTCTTAGTCAAAACATATTCTTTCACATGATTGGTAATGAGAGCTTCCATTTCATTTTTTTAAAAATTGGGGCGTTTCCAATACTGGTCTTTACCTTTAAGGGGACATTTCTATTCTGAATTTCTTCCAACTAATATAAACAAATAATAAATCTCACATATTGATTTTACACCTTTACCAGAAATCAACCTTCTCTTTAAACCAAAATACCTGGATCTTGTGGAGAAGTTCTCTTTCTTCTGTGAGGAGTTGAGAAATCCAAAGGAAATAAGAGTTCATCTTCTAGTCTCTCATTTTGTCCTATTTTCAGTGACACTGCAACAATGTCTGGCTGGTCGATGAAGTCCAATTCAAAGGGCTTACAGATCCTGGCTCCACTCGTTAGTTTATCAAAGGGGACAACCTTTAAAACAATGATTGAACGGAGGTCATCAAAAGAAAAGGTAAACAAAATTTCCATTTTATTTTTCTCATATTAATCATCTACTTTAGAAGTGTGTACATGTATAAGACATTATTGATGTGACTTAAGCTCCAGCAATCATTCGGATTTTGATTATGTTACAAACCAATAATTTTCAACTCAAATTTGTAGTAAAATCAAAAATTGCTGACATTTGACCCTTGAAGTCTATTACATTAAGAACAGATTTGGCTTGCATAATGAAGGTTTTTATCATTATTGTGTTTACAGAAACAGAGAATCTGAATCAGATTTAATTGCATTTCTTTGATGGCCTCCTCGTGCCGCCATATGTTCAACATTCAATATACCATCTGAGTTTAGGGTACTTTCGAATAACTGAGGGGTATGATAATGAAATCTTGTGCCTTTAATAGTAACAAAAAGAAATCTGATTACGATAATATCCTTAATCAAGACACTAAATATACTTAGTAACTATAAGGCCATTTATTGACCGGACTGTTGTTTCAGGGATGTCCTGCGTGGCTACCTAAGGGGCATTTATAGCACCTCTGGGGGATCATCAGGTTAGGATTCTTTAAAAAGGCAAAACGTTTGCTTCATTTTCTCCCCAACTCAACTCCCCAATCTTAGCTCCTTTAAAGGCCACATGCATATTGAATTCAATATGGCCTCCATCCTGGTAAGGTAGTAATGAAGTTCAAAACGAAAGGGCAGAATAGTGTAATAATGTGTTGTCATTGTTTTTTTGGTCAGAGAATATGATATATATTGTAATCAAATTGACGTCAGCATCACTTGTGAAAGCCATCCTGGAAATTACTTTGGGAACCAGTTACTAAAGGAGGTGGAGGCATCAATGATCAGAAGCTAAATAATGACCGGGTCTGTTGCTACGGCTCCCTGCCTGCTTAACAGCTCAAATATAATGCAGACGTACTAGTTCACCCCATAGCATTTGACCAGGCACCAACAAGCCTATAATAGTTGTGGTATTCTCATAAGATTGCAGCAGTTAGAGAATCCTCAATTCAATAAATGTTATTCTCAAATGCATACCCACAACATGGACATTTGTTTCGTTCACCTGTAAAATAAAGGCTGACATACACTGTTGGTCCTATTGGTGGAATAATTATTTGTACCCCAATTTATGGAAGGATTTTGACAATGATTAATTCCTAATAGATCTAAGTAATAGTATACATTCTCAGATTTTTAAAAATAATAATATGCGAGTGTTTGTTTTGTGTGACTGCTAATTAGCATATGTGTGCTAATATGCTAATCATAGGGGACCTACGTCCTTAATTCATAACTGACAGTAAAGAGGATTAATGCCTCACAAAAGAGTACTAATACAGCTGATCGACACAGTTTTGATCCTGGGGCCTCACAGTAACGGGGTCATTGCTTAGCCACTGAATTATGACTGTACGCAGCGAGGGCTAGGGTACGGGGGCGCCCCTACAAAAGAACAAATAAAGAAAATGCAACAAATTATCAATAATTCATTCCATTCCCCCCCCCCCGTCTCCGATAAGAACAAAAATCGTATGTAGGACCATGCATTATGGTTCAAAGCATGCTCACACAGAGGATCTTTGTTAAGTTTTGTCACTTACAGTGAACCTAGGCACTAGGGAAAAATGTTGACATAAAATAGTATAGTATTAATGACTGCTTTGAGAGAAATAGTTGTTTTTATACGCTCAAGGGAAGGTTAGAATTGTGCTATTGCCCGAGGCATTCCGAGAGCGTATAAAAACAAATATTTCTCGAATATTAAAGCAGTCATTAATACTTTTATATGCCGAAAACAAAAGAGTCAACTAATGACATCACTTTGGCCTTTCTCTAGTTTATCTGCACGTTTTTTTTTAATGAGTGTATCTTTGAGAGTAGACTTGATCTAGATTCTAGTCTAAGCAAGATATTTTTACAATTTTTGGGGTGGGCCGGCCCTGAAGGTAATATGGAGAAGAACCTGCGCTTTTATATGACACCTCACTTATTGAGTATCACCTTCAGGATCACAACAGATAAAGGTTTGAATCTCGAATTGAAACAAAAAAATTGACTTTTTTTGCATGGTCGCGCAATGCACGTAGACTGCATAGAGACTGCATTGCGTGCAATCTCTATTGGAAGAATTTTAACACACAACATCGGGTGCGCGATCAGACACCCTGACTACTAGATCTATTTTCGTCTACTTCTATGCTTTTTCAGCAACTAAACGAACATGTTTATGGATAATTTCACGTACCCTTTTTGTTGTTCTTGCTGTTGAAATCTTGGGAGAGTTTCTTTAGCCATTTTTGTCTTGTTTGGAATAGTCTTGTCTTGTATGAAAATACCGACCAATTCTTCGCACACGTACGGTATCCTCGATCGCTCAAACCATTTTTAACATGTAAACCTATGGGTAACCATGGTTACTGGGAACTATTTTTTAAAACTATTACATGGGTTTGGAATTTTACCGGGAATTTTACAGGAATAGTTAAAGTTTATGAATGCAATTTCGACCAATCAGATGGCTGGATTTCTTAAGTGAGGTATATAAACAATGTTACATCACTATTAGATTATCTGTACCATCAACTCTATTTTTTAGCGGGAAAAAATATTTCATTATTCTAGCCCTTCGTTTTGAAAATTACAATAAGACTTTGAGATCATATGATGGCTATATACTGGTAGGATTTTACCACAATGATGGTCCCAGGGGCGCATTTCTTGACACCAAATTAATGAAATAACATCAGAAACACAATTCTTTTTCTAAGAAGCCCATAGCTAAAGAAACTTTTATCATTCTAGTGTAGTCCTTCTTGTGTTGAAATCTAAATTGATGTTTGATTTTGGTAGTGGGGGGTTCCTTCAGCCTTCCTGATATCAAACTGATGGACCGACATTATAGAAATCTTATTATTTTTGGTCGAATCCAAAGGTGTCCGTCAAAAATCAAACTGGTACGGTACAGTCGACATCTGGGCCAAATTTAGTGCTATTAGAACAATTTGCACCAAACTGTCATTATCTTTCCGTAACATCCCCAACTAATTCAGTATCAGAGTTATAACCAAAACAAATTGTTGAACAAATTAATAAACTTACAGCAGGTCTTCCAATTACTGTCTCCTTTACATAACAGGTCATTTTGAGATCACTTTCTGCTGCCTGAATAACGATCTCTTGTTCTGGATGGGCAGGTACGAATTCTTGTTCCTCTTCTTGTCTTTTTATTAACTGTTACCGAAGAAAATAAAAGAAATTATACAGGCTGTATACATATACAAGGAAAAAGAACAACTAACGTCCCAGCAACAAAACTTGTTTATGAACCAGTTTTTATAAAATAAAGTTTAAATCAAACAACATACTTGTAACTTAAATCTTTCTCAAAGATGAACAACACCTCAGTTTTGCAGAATTTGGGCTAAAAAATGCTTTGACGATGGTGTTGTTTGTAATATTCTTTTGTTCTTAAGCTCTTAAGAGCCTCTATTGTACACCAAATGCAATGTATTGTGAACATTTTAAAATTGTAGATTTATTGGTGATTCTTCCAATAAATAATTTATTTTCTGAAAAGTATGAACCAAAAACTGGATATTTGCCTCGATACAGATTCCTTAACTGCTGCAACAAATATTTACCTCACAATTCCCTTTTATGGCATCATAGAGGTGTGCACGTAAGATGACAGGTGTCTTCTGTAGGGCTAGGTTCTTTTCTTTAAATGGCCGACAGCGCATCTTCTTTCCTCTGAAGAAGAAATTCTTGATCATCAACTTAATCTTCACCCATGAAAAGTGGTTCATCTTCAGTTTGAGTACATCTTTCGTAATGATGCAGCTAGGTGTTCCAGACCTCGACAGCATAATTCGTTCTTTAACAACTGCATCTATAATCAACAAGGGACAGTATTCTAAAAACTAAGAATTTACATACCATACCTCTGAATTGGTAATCTGAAAACTATGTTAAGGGTATATTATCTTCTTTAACCCTATCTAGCCGAGCCCCCCCCCCTCCCTCGACATTTTTCGCGATAATTTTTCAACGCAGGAAAATCTTGCACTGACATTTTGTGACTTTTTTTTTCTTTCTCGAAAATCAGACCTTCCATTACAAAGTCACGTGTCCTTTTGTCTTTGCATGTCAGCCCGAAAATCGCTAATTTTTGTGATTTGTGTACAAAACATATAGAAATCTCATTTTTCAAATAAAGAGATAAAACGTTGGTTATTTGGTCTTGTTTTATAGTTTAGGTGTTTATTTTGGGGTCAAAATAGTTGAATTATAGTTGGAAATGAAATAAAACAACAAAAACAATAAAAGACATAAGTAAAAAAAAAAAAAAAAAAAAAATACATAAGAAATTATAAAAACATTAGATAACATAAGGAATAACCTGGCTCCTCCATTTTGGGGGGCTGTATTATTATCCCAAATGGTCTAAATAATATATGTAGTGAAAATTAATGTTTAAATATGAAAAATATATGATTTATGGACAAAAATGTGAATGTTATTACCATATTTGCATAAATTACCATAAATATGCAAACGAGTGTATTTTTCACAAAAAAAATTGAAATTACCATAGTATTCTATACACTTCACTTGACATGCATGCACATTTTTGCGGCGATAGGTCGTTTCATGGCCGAGATCATAGGGGGGGGGGGGGGTTAAGCACGGTCGGTTGTGACCAACGCTTGAACCTCTCAGGTTTGCATAAGTGTAAGAGTATGCGCACTGCATCGTCCCGCCAAAATATATGCAAACACTGTATTGGACTTAAAATCTTTTTCAAAATACCGATTATAATAGCTAACATACTTTTCACGCTAACATAGTATCAGAATACAACCCAAGTTCAAAGACAACTTTTTTGTTTGCATTATTCCCAAATTGTCACTATATACATTCAATGTAGGTTACATTGATATAGTTTATCAGTAGAATAGAGTGGGTTCATACATCGAGGGGCATATGCTACCAAGGGAGGGGGCACCTGTCATATTGGTTAATGAAGTGCAAATTGAAATGGCTATTGATGAGGGAAAGGTACATGGGGCAGGAAAAACAGCGGAGGGATTATAGCATTTTCTTGTCAAGCTTCATTTCCCCCTTTAATTTGTTAACGATATATTGTTGTTCGCCAAGGAGAAAGAAACCGACGATGATGGCGACAAGAAGAGGAAGGGAAGCAGCACTCTCGGTTTAAAAAGGTGCTCTGAAATTTCAGCTGCGATGCACAATAGCAAGTGCTTTGTTCTGGAGTGATTGTTGATACACGCATAATTTTGTGGACTTGATTTAACAAAAAGTGAAATCTAATGGAATTATTGTGAGCAACTTTTTAAAACCAATGTACAGCAAAATTTCATAACTATCTCCAGTTAGAATAGCATCCTTCAACTTGACAATGTGAAGACCTCAATGAATTTTTGAGTCACTCACGATCAAAAGTGTAAAACGTTCTTATAATACACATAGTACTTTTAATGGAAAATGGGAGTTTCATTTGTTTATTTACTTATCACAAAGTGTTTCATTTAATTACAAAAAGGTTTTGACAGACATTCATCAAATGCCATTGCTACATGATGTCTATACATGTTGAGATGTACTTACCGGGTGAGTATTCTCCCTCTCCCGTGTACAAGACTGCCTTCACACTTGAGTATCGTGTAATCACAGCACAGTGGGGTATTGTGTAAGTCACCGGTAACTTAAGGACTAAGTCATCAGGGGCTAAACACTGTACACCAAAGCAGACTGACATCTCTTCTTTGCTGTTGCCAAGATTAGGAGTATCTGTCAGGACACGAAGGGAAATGTCCTGTGGCGCATCGCTGTCAATTGCACCAAGAGGGATCTCAAGTGCAATTCCGAAGGAATCTAGCTGAAGTTTGCCACCTTCAACTCCAACTCTCTTACAACATTCCATCTTGATTGGTTTGACATTTACTTCATCTGGTACTGAAAATCATAAGAGATATTTCCATTAAATCCTTTCTGTGAACCCTCTGCAAACAATAGAACACATACATGTACTTGTACTTCAACATTCTAGCAAAATACTAGATAAAGGTTATAGAGCACTAAAGAGCAATGTCACTCTGAACTATCCTTTTCATGTCAGGAATAAGTGTAAAAGAAGTATATTTTTACACATTTTTATCTTTTAATGCGTCGTTTTTAATATCTTCTTTATAACTGTTGCTTATAGTTTAGATTATACATTGTGGAAAGATATATGAATTCAGATATACAATCTTTGAGATTTAGCAATTTATATGAAAGATGTTATTTTTCAACTTAGGATTTAGAACAATTACATTTTACCGATCTGTCATAACTATATTGTTATAATACAATGAAATAATAAGATAAAAGAAAAATATTGTAATCTACCCTGTTTTTCTATCTTTTGCCGAACATTACAAAACTTTCTACTTGCTAGAACCACGCATGGTAGGCCCATTTTCACTAAGAAACATCTCTGTTGGATACTGTTGTATAGTTTTACAGAGATTACGCCATCCAGCATCCACAGTTTTATATATGTATATACATGAGCTTGTACTACTCTCGCTTTCATGTCGTCGAATCATTTATACATTAAGCATCAACCGGTAGAAAGTATTCAAACACTTTATTCTTTGTTTTGTGTCTCAGCCATGCTTGTGAATGAAATGGACATGAAACAAGAGACATCTCCAGGGAGACATTGATTTTATTTCCTTATTCTCCAAAATTAATTTCTGCTGACATAGTTAGAAGCACAACATTAACCTTTTTCATGGGGCAGGCTTTCCATGACAATGTGATCCTCTTCTTCCTTCTCCTTTCCTTCTTCCTCAGTGTTCTGGGTGTCCGTCTGTTCTTCATGCACTTGGATCCTTGCGGTGGCTCCAACAAGCTCGTCTGTCAGATACAATCAGTCAATAACGGATTCAGAATATAAATCCTTTTCATTTAGGCTACTAATATAATGATTACAAATTCTATTTTCTTATAAAACAAGTAGCAACTCAAAACGTACACACAATGCATTTGTATGTTATAATGTAATTTATATACGGACGTGTGATCTGTATTTCAATTTTTGATTTGTGATAAACATCTTCAAAGTTTATGAATTGATTATGGTATTTTCTACAAATAATTCAATATTCATTTGTACAAATATTGTTTGCCTGTATATCCCAACTAAAGGCTCATTCACATATGCCAAGGTCTATTGCAGTGGCTGTTTGTATCGTGTACCCACCCAATGAGTCTTTTCCCATATGGAATAAACCTAGCCCATGTACTATCCGCATGGTCTAATAATCATTTATTCCACTTACCATTTTATGTAATGACCATTTAGGCTTATAGCCAATTGGTCTAATTTCCATTTGGTCTAATGTCAAATATGTCTACAGTCCATTTGGTCTATTGCTCATCTAGTCTAATTTCCACTAGGTCTAATTCCCAGTTTGTCAAATACCCATTTCGTCTACTAAGGTCTAATAATCATTTGACGATTGTAATTATTTTTGATTAAATGATTAGTAGACCATATATTCACCATCCATCACAATCCACTAACCAAACTGCAAATTTGAAAATCGCATAGACTTAGTGAACTCATATTACAATCATTCATAATTTTCTTATTATTTGTTCGATTTATTTCAAACTTTCGCATGCTGTGTTTTTCTTATTGTTCAGCTTTCATACAAATGAAATTATTACAAAGATCAGATTGCCCTTTAAGTATCTGAATATCTTCTGTTTGCCCATGCCTTGAGCCATAATGCATGGCCGTCCAGAGGATTTTGTTATGTTGGGGACCGGGGTAAAATGCAATAAATTATTGAAAATGTATTGCATTTTCTGTTTTTTTTTAAATTTATTTATGGAAACTGCCCCCTACCTTAGCCCCCGCTGCGTACAGTCATGGTTCAGTGACAAAGCAATGGCCTCGTAACTGTGAGGCCCCAGGATCAACACCGTGTCGATGTGCTATATTAGTGCCCTTTTGTGGGGCATTAATCCTCATAACTGTCATTTATGACTTAAGGGCATAGGTCCCCTAGTTGATAAGCATAGTAGCATATACATGCTTTAGCAGTTACGCAAAACACACATTGGCAAATTAGTATTCAATAAAATCTGAGAATGTATACTATTATCAAGATCTAGTATTTTTAAATTATTTTTAAAATAATGCCATAAATTGGGATTAACAAAATATATTCCACCTTTATGAGCGACAGTGTATAACAATAATAATACAAAATATTAATACTGATAATAATAATGAAAATCATCAACATATTAGTAGCTTTTACTAAATATACATATGTGTATTCGGGGGAATGCTCATAGTGTCTAGAATTAATATTTTGGGTAAGCTTTCTGTCCAAAACTTTTTCAGTATTTGTTTTATAAAGCCATAACAATGCTAAACACGGTACATGTAATGCTTTTTTAATGATTTCAAAACATATGTTGTTACAAGTCCGATACTATGATTTTCGCTTAATGATTTTAAACCATATCTGATATCTTTTCACATACCTTCTCTCTTAGGCTTAATTTCATCATACACAGTTAGGCTTCGAGTGTGAAGTAGAATATTATCCAGCTCCTGAAATTAATAATAAGATATGTTTTATTCTAAAAATAGGCTATACCTAGTATTGGTTTTAAAATAAATCAATGATGTCCTTATAATTAATTTATCTTTATACAATGAAAAAAAGGAAAAGGAGAACAGGACAACAAGAAAAAAAAAGAGAAAAAGGAAACAAAAGAAACGAGGGATGAAGAGAGGATTTTTTTTTTGTCCCTACGAACTGTGATTTTGTATCCGCTGTGCCGACTTCGAAAGAGATGACAACTATAATACTTGTATTTTCTCGAAGTTTCACCTTTTTACAATATCAGCCAGAGAAGTCAAAGGTTTAACATTTTCAGAGGAAACTAATTTCGGACAAAGATTAAAAGTCGAGGATGGTACAACGAATCGTGTTCTTTCTCTGATAATTTAGGGAAACGTCAAAGCTTCAGCGCTTCGTTCGGGAGGGAGGAAAATGAATTCAGACAAAGATTAAGAGACGAGAACGGTACAACGAATCGTCTTCTATCTAATAATTCAAGGAAACGTCAAAGCTTTTGCGCTTCGCGCAGAATGGGGGGAATTGAATCCAGATAAAGATTAAGAGTCGAGAACGGTACAACGAATCTTCTTCTTTCTATCATAATTTAAAGAAACTTTAAAGCTTTCGTGCTTGGCGTGGAAGGGGACAAACTGAATTAAGACAAAGATTAAGAGTCGAGAACGGTACAACGAATCGTTTTATTTCTATCATAATTTCGTCACTGTTTTCACGAAGTGACGGTAGCGAGGAAAATTCGCACGCAAATTGTATGCAATTTTCATTCACTACCGTCACTTCGTGAAAACAGGGACGATTTAATGAAACGTCAAAGCTTCCGCGCTTCGCGCGGAATGGGGGAACTGAATTCAGATAAAGATTAAGAGTCGAGAACGGTATAACGAAGTGCCTTCTTTCTATCATTGTGTAATGAAACGGCAAAGCTTTCGTGCTTCGCGTGGAAGAGGAAAAACTGAATTATGACAAAGATTAGGAGTTGAGAACGGTACAATGAATCGTCTCCTTTATCTAATAATTTAAAGAAACGTCAAAGCTTCCGCGCTTCGTGCGGGAGGAGGGGGGATGAATACAGACAAGGATTAAGAGTCGATAAAAGTACAACGAATCATCTTCTTTCTCTAATAATTTACGGAAACGTCAAAGCTTCCAGGGAGGGGGGAACTGAATTCAGTCAAGTATTAGAACCCGTCTGCACTAGTTTGGCTAAGGGGTATTACAGCTCCCTGCAAGGTCACTGACACCGGGTCACTGACAGGTGGTTATCTCATTAAATCAGCCCTCAACTCATCTAAGAAAAAGGGGATCAACAGTGCACCGATTAGGCGTTGTTTGCTATACCGTATGAGTAAAAAAAAAGTTTACACCTAGAAAATTGCTTATTATTTTTAAAATCCTCTATACACAGTAAATTATTATATATCTTATGGAAGAGTGTTTTATCCCAAATCATTTGGTATCATTTTTGTGTGGTATGTGTTCACGCTTGGATGAACAGGAGGCATTGTTTTCGAGAGTGCAAAAATCGAATTGCGCCAAAGTGATGCCTACAGTATGTGTTATGTTGGGATTAGCGGAGTGAAAGAATGAATTGAATATATCGAATGAAATGCATTGCATATGCTTTTTGCAGAAGTAAAGTCGCACACACACACACACACACGCGCGCGCACACATGTTCGTTGATATTTGATATTCGATATGTGTGGCATGATTAATTTTGTTAGGGATGCTATTTGGATCTGCAAAGACCGAATTAATACCGAAATTCCAATTGTTTTATTCAAACATCACATAAGCAACTGTGGCGCAAGTCGATTGTTGCACTCTCGCAAACAAAGCCTCCTGTTCATTCAAGCGTGAACACATACCACACAAATATGATACCACATGATTTGGGATAAAACACCTTTTCATAACATGTATAACATTTTACTGTTCATAGATGATTTTAAAAATATTAGCAATTTTCTAGGTGTAAACTTTTTTTTGGACTCACACTGTTTAGATGGCGCACGTAGCTATAAGTACAGAGGACATACTGTGTATGATCGAATCTCTTTAATATGTAGAGCCCCCTAGGGGGCGCGCCTTTGCTAGAAGGACAGTACAAATAAAGTACTATGTAATTCGAATATTAGCGGCAGTCTTCCGCTAAAGAAATAGACTAACCACTTTACTTATAATATTGCTGTGTGCTGAAAAAGTTCAGTGTCATGTATTATGATGTAACAAGCGGCAGTATTTCGTTTTAGAAATATACTTCAACTTTCGACTGTAAATTGTTGTACATAGTTTCCGCAAGCTAGATCTTAGCTCGTTTGAATAAACGCTTTTGAAAAGTATCCATAGTGTTTCCATTGTTCTTTGTTTGAAGCCCTATTGTTCTCTTGTGAATCACAGTTTTTAAAAAAAGGTCTATACTTCGATTTTGAGACGTTTGATACATAATTTGATCATTCGACAATACTGATCATTTTCACCCCCCCCCCGGTTTAAGCTCTTGCCAAACACTTACATGATTGTGAGGTATTTTGTTAACAGATGTTTGCGAGAGAAGTGGCTGCACCTCAACAAAATGGATAATTGTGTTGGAAGTGAACTTCATGCCAGTTCTTGTCATATTTGTTTCTACTTTGCAGACCAGCATGCCCTTTCAAAGTTAAAAAATCAAGGGCTGGCAGATTTTGTGAAAAATACTGTGTTGAAAGTGCATTAATGTAGTAGATTTTCAAATGTAATCAATGCTATCTTTTTATTCAGCTACATGCAGAATGGAAATGCGACTGTGTACGTGCAGTAACATTGTAGTACAAGTACCATGGAACCCTCGGTATGGTAAAACCATGGTAACGAAAGGTACGGAAAAAACCATGATAACCATGGTTCTTTGTCCAAATTACCATCCACCATAAGAACCATGGTAACCATGGTACTGAAAACAATGGTAATACCATGGTTTTTGTTCTGGGCACGTCACTAGTACGTGAGGACTAAATAATGTAGAAAAAAGAGGACAAAACATTGACTATAAAATCAAAATCAAACCTGTTCACTTTTGGAGGTGTTTTAAACTTTTAACATACCTTACTTCGGACATGGGGGGACATGGGGAGTTACAAAGAAATAAATCTTCTTTAGAATACCAGGGGGTGTTTCATTAAGCTGTTCGTAGAGTTACGCATGACTTTACGAACGACTTGTATATGAAAAGCCAAATGGGATGCTCAATCATTCTTGATTATTATTTATTAAGTTGAACAGTGCAGATGTAGATTAACATTCTTATCATAAAAAACATTTTTAATGCAAAGTATATTTTTGGCTATAATTTAATTGAGGTTATCGGAAATATCAGAACAAAAATTGGGCATCCTATCTGGCACTTCATATACAAGTCGTTCGTAAAATCATGCGTAACTTTACGAACTCTTTATGAAACACCCCCAGAACACATGGACTTGGCAACGTTATTCAATGGCTACAAGTTATGCATACAAACCTCCATACTTCCCGTACTTCCGTAACCAGACAAACTAGACGACAGTCGGTTGAGTTGCTCCCTTGTCTGAAATGAGTTGAGGAAGAATTTAAGAGAATTTATAAATCATGTGATCCCAACAAGACATTTAGTGATTCCAAGTACGGTGTTCGGTGTTGGTGTTGGTGTTGAGAGCGCGGAAAGGATGTCGATTCTATGTCACTCACCTTTTTTTTGTTGCTAACTTGTCATTTTATATGGGTTACAATGTCGTTTATCCATCTAAGGGATCGCCAGTAACTTAAATCCTATTAGTTTTACATACAAGTATATCTTTATTGTTTTATATTGATTTTACTGTCTTAATTCAGATACAAAAAAAATCCCCCCAAAAAAGTATCATCCCCATATTTGTTGCTCTCATTGTCCATTAGTAGTTATCTACACGAATGGCTCCAACAGGGAAATGACCGGCGTTTACCATTTATTAAACGCGATGTACCCGTAATGTTCTTTTTTTTTATAGATCAGTGAAGCTCCATCATATGAAAAGAGTTGAGGAGGGATTTAAAGTCATTTATCAAGTATGTGATCAAAACAGGTGATTAGGACTCCTCAAAGGATAGTTTCAGATCCCCTCAAAGTCATATCAATGGTATGGGAAATTTGTGTTTTGGCAATATGACCCTTTAGATAAATAACATCTGTGTAAAAAAAAGTATAACTCCCATATAATCATATATATTTAATCATATAATCATATGTCCAAGCATTGTGTCGGGTATCTAGGTAACAAAAAATATCATTGTTTTTAATGGGGAAGACTGAATCATATAGCTTTCAAAGCTTTTCAAATAAGGGGCTAGGCATTTTAGCATACTCAAGGCAATGAAAAACCGTGCCTCTTCATAAAGTAAAAATACATAACGGGCTTTTAAACTTGGACCCAAAGTAAGTACACAAACCTCGAATGGGCCAGCCAGTTTTGCAGCTGAATCAACAGAATCCGTTCCTCCTTTCCGCAATATCAACTGAAAATAAATTAAAGCATAATATGTAGCTTCCTTTCAAATTTATTTACAAAGGAACACAAAGGAGAGTTAAAAAATTTCATTGTCTACTGACAGAGGTCAAAAGTTAATTTGTCATCATCTCAGAAAGATGCACATGTAAACTTTAGGTTCAGTATAACGTTACGTTTGTTCCCTCACAAATTATGATGTTCAGAACTTCAGACACCTACAAAATCTATGAATTTGAGTAATTCGCATTACATGGGTACAAATATTGTCAGATGCTTGTCCAACTTGAAGAATTGTTTAATTACTCCTGTGTTACTTTTATGAACCAAATGAAGAGAGTTCTATTTACATACCTTTGCCTGCTCTATAGGCTTCCTAGCTGGATCGTCAGCCATCTTTAATGTCTACCAGATGACCTGCATGGAGGATAGAAATAGAATTCGGGTTGACAACTAGTGGCAAAATATTGGAATATTTGTTTCTGCCAGAAAGAGCTGTTGGTAAAAAATAAAATGCAGTGACTGTCCTAATCCTATTTTGTCTGATTCGATTAGTTGAAAAGTAAATTCCACTCTAGCATCAAGTTGACTGAAACAGAATCACACGACGTATATCAAACAAGAGAAGCAGTTCAGTGCCATCCAGTTTGAGGAAAGTTAAAAGAAAGTATCAATTTTTAAGTTGTCATTGATCAAACACAAATTGAAGACTCTGTGACATACCAGTTGATTTTGTGATATTTTCGCAAATTACTCCGGTTGTCTCATTTTCGCTCGCTGGAACATTGCTAGCACAAATCACTGACCGATACCTCCTGGACGGATCATCGCCCATTCCAATTCACTATACGTTACGTACTAAAAGGCTGTATTGTCCGACCGTTCATGAATATTCATGTTTTTGCTTACCTCGACAAAATGTTTGCTTTTACTAAATGGAAAAATGACGGTGGGGGGTTGGATGAAATGGACATAATGAACCAAGCAGAAGTGATCTATGATAATTCATGCTTCTTATCCTTCGTGTGCTTGACCTATTATCTTAAAATCGCTCGGCAAACTGAGTCCAAAGTTCGACTTGTTTCACATGTGTATTATAGGCAATGACGAACTTGCAACCTATTTTTATCAAATTACGGTGGGTGAACTTTCAAAAGTCAATGGGACATGAGGGTTCCAATGAAAGAGTTAGTGATAACGTTCGTCGGGGTGGATGTGCTTTTCGTTTAATTTTGGGGGTAAAATTCCAAAGGCTAACATGTTAGGCTGCTGACTCTGATGATAGGGGGCGTTGTGAAATGAGACTAAACGGAGCTATATGGAAAATATTCTATGTTAATTTTGATTTTAAGTATAATATAATCATTATAACGTAAAGGCTTATCATTTCATAATTAATATAAATCTCATATTATTCGGTGATGTCCTGATAATGGGTTTCTGTCACAATACTGTAGATTAGATTTGTTTTATGTATTTGAATTCTTATACGGAAAACCCCCCAAACCAAACCATACTAAGATCAAGATTACAAATGCCGTGTGAAGATCATTTGATCTGGTTTTCGTTTGCAACTTCCTTAAAATAATTAGTGCAAAGCACTAATTGCTCTAAATTTGTTCTAGGAGAGGGAAAGGGTCGCAAAAGGGGGAAGGGTGCAAATTATTAACCCTACAACTCATTATCTTTCCTGATTCAGACTGGAAATCGTGACTATAACCGGGATCCAGACCTCATTTTAGTTATCACTTGACATAAAGCCTACATCATTTCTGAACACACATCATCTCCTACACAACATACTGCCCCCTACCATTACGTTTTTAAGGGGGTGGCATTTGGTGGAGGGAGGGGTAGGGTGAAAGTTCTGAACCTCACCATGAAGTATGAACATGTTTAAGACGCAAGTCATGTCTGTCACCTGGATAATAATATCTGCCCTGACTTGACGAAGACAATAATATCTGCCCCGACTTGACGAATACAATATTATCTGCCCTGACTTGACGAAGATAATATTATTTAACCTGACTTAACACAGATAATATCATAGGCTTTGACTTGGCATAGATGATTTATATTTTCTCAGACGCACTACTGATACTGCATTATATAATGACGAAAATGGAATTTTGTGTGTGTCTGCAGACGTCAATGTGAGTACCTAGCTGGGATCAAGAGCTCTGGATTTGTGGTAATGAGAGAAAAAGAGAGAGAAAAAAAGATCCAAACTGTGAGTGAGAGAATACCGACTGATGATCGGCGCAATGATGGAGGTGAAGTGTCGGGCGATAATGTATCAATACATGTATTCATGCATCTGTGCCGCACAACTATGAATATATATATATATATATATATATATATATATATATATTACTAGGGGCGTCATTAGAGGGACATTTGGAGTGAAAAAGTGAGTCTTTAAGTAGACACTGTCATTGGGAGGACAAAGGTTTGTACGTTTTATTTATCATAGAAGCCCGGAAGGCCAATTTCGTTATATATAATATTACTTAAAGCGTCATTGGACGGACATTTGGAGTGAAAACGTGAGTAATTAAGTATACACGGTTGTAAGGAGGACAACAATTTGACAGACAAGTTTTAGGGTTAGGGTTAGAATTTAGGATTAGGGTTATGATTATGGTTAGGGTAAGGGTTAGCATTGTTCCGATGTTCACGTAATGTACCATATATGGTTATACATATATATATATATATATATCCTTTAAAAGACCCCTATCTATGTAGCGACTGTTGTGTTGTTGGTTATCCGATATCATGTAATAAGAGTGGTAAATTTCATCTTAACCGTTTTTAAGATGAAAATATTGCCGAAGAGACGTGACATTTTATTCCACAACTTTTACCAAATAATGCACTGATTATACACTTCAATAACAAGCTGATGCAAATATATGACTCGAAATCAGTTATGTAAATCACAATGAGTAATACAGCCAATTTCTTTAATCTTTATTTTACATTTATCGTTGATGAATGGTTTTACAAAGGCCATTGTGATGAGAAGTCCAGGTAATCAATATATATGTTGATTTGTTTGTATAACTTGTGATACCAATATGCACCTTCTTGGAAAAAACAGTATATTTTATGTACTAAAGAAAAATCATGCCTGTGTGTCCTACAGTAGAAATTACCATTTTATCTTTGACCCAGAATGATATTATTTCTATATTAAACACAAACATGTTCAATAAACATTCAAGTGTTCAGAAAAGAAATTAAGCAACCTTTGTCCTCGGACCTGATACTAAGGGGGTGCGGGTGCATGCGCATGTGCACACCCCCCCCCCCTCCCCCCGCTACCGACAAGCTGTCCTCTAAAAAAAAAAACAACAATGCAAACATCATAGGTAGGACAAAGCAATTATTAGTGAAACCCTTTTGATTTTCAGACAGATAAATACAAAAGAAATCCCTACAATGGGAGAGTGGACACCCCACCCACACCCTTCCCCGCTCAGGCGCTTAGTGCTCTAATGAAAGTTTCCACCTCACATAATGTCTGCAACCCCACCCTATTAAATCCTAGTGACGGCCTGGTCCTTGATGATGTGAATTTAGTACATCTAATTTTATTAATTTTCACAAGTAATAAAGTAACAATGCCAATTATAATCCTTGTATTATTAACATGTAATAGCTAATTGATATCGTTGGAAGAAAACAAATCCTGAGGAAGAAAGACAAATAAACCTCCCCCCTAATTGCTCAAAACCCCAAACAAACAAACATTATAATTGATAGCTGTATGAAGAAAAAAAAATCATATAAAAATAACAACACAATCTTGTGCTTTATTAGATACATAAATCTTATAGTTTGCACGGCTTTCTTATGCCTCGTTGACACTTGCCCGCATTTTGGTCCCGCACTGGGGCAGTGCGGGACCAAAATGCATAGCTCTGTTGCGTGCCAATGCGTGCCAATTAGTGTCACGCAGGGTCACGTATAATTTACGAATAGTTCACGCAATGCATAACCACCAGGACACGCATTCGTAGACTTTGCGCATAGCATGCGAAAACTGCGCGGGAAGTATGCGCAGCCAATGCGCAAATTGTTCGCAAATTAGTCGTTAACTAGTCGTGAACATGCGTGCCACTAGGCCATCGGACACGCATCGGCGCGCACTGGCACGACAAAGCAGCGCATATGGTGCGCATAGTTCACGAACGTTGCGAAACAAAATTGTCGTGCCAAAATTTTGAACATTTTGAAAATTCTGTCACGCATTTTACGCACGGCCCGCATCCGCCCGCATCCTCCCGCACGCTACCACGAATACTTCCCGCATTGGCACGCAAGAGTACGTGTCTATGCGCAAACTATGCGCAAACCAAAGTGCGGGCAAGTGTCACCGGGGCATAAGAGTGTCGAAAAAAGTACAGACTAGGCTTTTAGACTTCTCCCTCTCTCTCTTGTTTGCTTTCTCTTCCCCTATTGCCATTTTTGCTATTTGCCATTTGCCATTTTGTTATAAATAAATTTTTATTCACGGTGCAGCAAGATTGTAGCATGGGCGTATAGTCCTCCAGGGTATGGGGATATAGTCCCCATCCCCTTAACCAGGGGCGTCGCTAACAGGGGAGTGTGTGGGGGTGCGACAGTCCCCACCTATCAGGATATTGTGCTGCCGTCGGGAAAAATGAGAGGGAAAGAGAAAGAAAGAAAAAAAAAGAAAGGAAAAGAAAGGAAAGAGAAAAGAAGAAGGAAAGATTTTTATAAAAGAAAAAGAGAAAGGAGAATAGAAAAGGAAAAGAAAATAAATCAAGGAAGAAAAAGAGAAAAGGAAAACAGATAGAGAAAATTAAACAAAAGAAACGGGGAGATAAAAGAAAGGAGAGAGGGAGTATGTAGAGTGAGATGTATAATGCCGTTCGGCGGGCGATTTTTCTTTTTGTACTACGACTTGTTCCTTTTTATCTGCTTTGACGACAAGAGAGACCACAACTATAATACTAGGCGTTTTGGCGTGCGCCAGTAATCTAGCTAAAAAAAGTGGCAGTTACAAACTGATTCAGCCGAGGACGTAGGTTCCAAACTGAGTCACGTCTTTCGGATGGTGACGTATGAAGGTCGGTCCCCAGGCTTAAATAATCATATCTGATTGATACACGTCTTTAAAAACCCAATACACACACACACACACACACACATATTTTTTAAAAGTTCAACCCGCAATCATTAAAAATTATTGCCAATTGTCATTGCATATCATTGTCAACCTTCAAATAATATCAGCAAAAGAAAACAGGGGATCAAAAAATCGCCCCACCGGGTTTCGATAACGCCACACGGAATGATTGCTCACTTTGGTTGCACCTTTGTTTAAATAGTTACAATGCTGGCTAGTCTTTACGAAATAA